AAAGTTTTTTTATATTATTTAATGTAATTAACAAATTTAATCTTTTTTAGAGGTAAACTTCAACAAAACCACAACTTCGAGAAATGTTGTCAAAGCTAATATAATGAATAATTCCATAAATGTGAGAAAACCTGTTTTAAAAGAGGTATTTTGTAAAATCATGCGTGAAAGCTATTTCGCAAAGAACATAACTTCTCGATCACATAATCGAAACGAATTAGAACATATTTACTGTAGCAATTTAGCAGTATTTATAAAAAATATGCTATTATATTTAATTAACAATTTTTAATTTTTTTTTATTAGATTTATGATATTAGCAACATCTTGCAACGTGTAACATCTTTGATGCAAAAATATAACAACAATAAAAAACTGGCTCATCAAAATACAATTCACAATGAAGATTTGCATCATTACATTGTTCCTCGAGGATATCAAAAGTTTATGGACTTTGATAAAAAAATTGATTATTTTGCATCTTCTCCAGGTTTTTCCAATGCCGAACTTACGTTTGAGAATGAGAGATTAAGTTTAGAAAACGAACTAAAGATTTTGATTGAATATGCCAAATCAATTCAAAATAGCTTATCGTGGTTAATTTGATTACTCGAGCTAAAATGGCAACAATTGCATAATGATTTTGATGATACTTCAAGATTGAAACTCTTACAGAAACAAGCAGGATTTCTTTTAGAAACTCTAATTGAAGATAATGGACGACAACGCAAAGAAGCGAAAAGCAAGAAATATCAATATTTTTCAAGAGATAAAAGTGAAAGTAATGTCTTAAACGTCGAAACGATCGAGCGTGAAAAACTAACAATATTGCGGAAAGGGAAAAATAGGAATAGAAAAAAGAATGCAAATGTAAAAAAGATGATTGACGATGGAGTTGCATTAACAACAGAATCATCGATTTTGGTTTATCCAACGTCTTCAAAAAATAGAAATAAAATATTAAACGTTGTAGAAATCAAGACTGAAGAAGCAACAACATTAAAGAATCTTTATAAAAATAAAACTGATGAGACCACATCAGTGGACAAAGAGATTAAAGATAGTTTTGAAGGAATTCGTAATAAAACTCTGAAAATAAACAAGAATAGAACTAATGATCAATTGGTATTCAAACCAGAGACGCGAATTTTAAGTTATCCCATATTATTAAAGAATATTACTAACAATTTAAAAAATAAAAATTTCACTGCTAATAAAATTAAGACAGCAGTTAAAGATAACTCTATTACGAATATATTTTTTTTCAAAATGAAAAATGTTGATCAGAAAACGTTTTCAAAATCGAAAGAATCCAAAAGAACTTCTCACGATAAGTCTATCAAAATCAAGTTTGAAAATCATAAAAATTTGTTCGGACAGCTGAAGAATAGTTCTACAATTTTGTTAGGCACAAACATGACAAACACTTTAGAAGAGACTGGCAGACAGAATGAAGTTAAAATGGGAGTCTTATTGCATGAATCCTTGAAGGGAAGTACGACCAACATGCCTGATACTGAGATTCTCATGCCTTCGAATGAAAGCAAAAATCAGCACGTGCCAAGAAAAAAAATTACGGATAATCATTATTATTCTTATGCAAAGGTGGAAACAAACGTAGACAGAACGTCGGTAATAGATGAGCTTTTGAAAGCGGTGGACGAAGTTCTGCTGACGGAAAAATCTGTAGAAATATTGCCGAGGCGGTTAAAAATGATTTCCGGCATATCTTGATGGCAGGGAATTACCGAAAGGCCTTCAGTCTTACGAAACACGTTGACAACACATGATCAATTGTAATAATAACTGGCCATTAAATCTTAAGTCTCGCGTCAGGTATTTTGACCCACTTACTTAAATCTACAAATAATTTTTTTCCGTAAATTATAAGGATATATAAGAATTTATACTTTCTAGTGCTTGAGAGTTAATTATGTGTGTGCGTGCGAGTGTGCATATGCGGAACGTGTTAGATATTGGACAATAATTCGAGATACATGTCCGACACACATTTCTTTTTCCGTATGTATCTTAATTCTAAACATTTGTCTGAATGCAATAAATAAATTCTTATGATAAAACATTACAAAACGTTTTAATAACTAGGTATCGCATCGTAAAATTCAAAAAGTATATTTATTTGGACAGTCGTTAGAAAGTTATGTATTTACTGTGTCGCTTCTTGTGGAACTGACAGCAATTTAACAGACTGACCACCAAAAATTGTGCATATTAAATACATAGTTTAAATGTTTAATTTTATTTATTGCGGTGTATGTAATAAAATTGCTAAAAATGTATATTATGATATATATTATTGTATGCCGAATCACGTCGACTAGCACGGCAAAATGCGAAAATTGAGCCGGGTCGCATAGTCGACACAGGCTGTACAAAACCTGTGCACCGGTTCACATAGCCAACGCAGTAAGCGACGTGTTAAGCAATCGGTGAATGTTGTGGAAAAGTACGTAATGATAGTTTACAGGTCGTTTCTATCAAGTCGAAGGATAAAGCAATTAAATTGGTGCAAAGGTGCGTTGTATACAAATGTATCGTATTTGTCAAATATAATTTTGACAAATTAAATCACAAATACATTTTATGAACCAATCATCTTTGATGATTTCAATACGCTTTTTTAAATTTTAAATAGCATTTTTCCAGCGTTTTTTCTTGAAAAATGCAAATTAACAAGTTTATTTTAAACAGGATTCAATCATATTGAAAGACGATGAACTTTTTACTTTTTATTGTCTATTAAATAACAATTACTTACATGGAGCCTCTAGAAACTGTCATATTCAGGCCGTCAAACACCAGCTTGTCTGCTCCATAATACTTTACGGCATTCCTTACGACCACTGCCTCCTGCTGCACCATTTTGCGAAATGGTGAGGATTGTTCGTGCAACGACCGAACTGTAATACAATTTTTATTGAAGTTAATCTAATAGCGTCTTCGAACAATTAGTTATTGGAAATGTTACTGTAGAAAATTAAAAATATATCTAGAAGACTTTGATATCTTTTTTCAGCAAAGATCAGTTTATCTTAAATTTTATTTTTGCAACTGTTATTTATTATTAACTATTAATTTAAATTATTATTTAAGATTATAAATTATTATTTAAGATTATGTAAATTATTTTACATATACGAATAACATCCAGCAAAAAATTATGACTTTTTTGCTGACATTGCTATTCTCATGACAAATAGTGCATGTAATACTATTTTTCTATTGCTGTAAATAATATAATATAATTTATGTTTTTACGCGTTGGAATGTTATTTTTCAATGGCATAATTGAATATATAAATATATATAAATACATAAATACAATATATAAATACATTATATTAATCTATATACCAATGTGCAGGCGTATCTATGTGTATCTATGTGTCTCTGAATGTGTTTATATGCGTAAGTTTTAATTGCTATTAATTAGATTTAAAAAAAAGAAAAGCAAGACGAGTGTTATAATAATCAAAATTTTATTTCTTACAAATCCCGTAGTCAGTATCGTTGAACATTGAAAATTTTTAATATGATTTTTAGAAGTCTAGGTCTAATGGAGATTAGTTTAATGTAAATTAAACCTGTATTTCTAAGATGTCTAATTACATCCAATTATATCGAATAAAAAAAAAAGGAGAACGTCATGGTTGATCGTAATTACATATTATTTTCTTTGCAAATGATTTTCGACTTGTATTTTGCAGTACATTTAAAGACACACAGAAACACATAACGCTATGTAAATTAGTATAATGTATCTCTTGAATTCAATCATGTCATTAAAAGATACCATTCCAACTCGTAAAAGCATAAATTATAGTGTTTTTTCTGGAAAACTAACTATAATATTTAATGAAAAATTATTGCATTGTTGAGTATTATGCGTATGACGTCAAACTCTTAACTACGATTAGTTTTACATAAGACTGCTTTGCATTTTAATTTTTTATTGCAAAGTTTTAAATGTAGCACAGTCGCTGTAGTAATTCATCATTTAAAATAAGATTTACATTGTAATTGTACAAAATTTATTTGAAACCTATACATTTAATTAAATTATATTTGCATTTAATTATTTTGCTCTGACACGTGCACCGTGTTTACCATTAGTTGTTTACCATTAGTTGTTTATCATTAGTTGTTTACCATTTTCTTCTAAAGAATTATGTTGGATTCAAAGGTGCGTTATCGGAGTCTCTAAGAGACGGTTTTTTTATTATTCTCTTTTATTTTGTGAATAATCCTTCTATTTTCACATGCAACCGTGTTTTTTTTTGGCGATCTGCAAATTTATACTTTCACTGTCACCTCATGAAACTACAGCTGGATATGTGGCTCATGTTTTTAATGATGTGAGAGCGGTTAATGATTGGATAGCAGAGAATGAAATGTTACTCAATAAAAAAGAAATCAGGATTCTGTACATTTACAGGAGCCGTACGTGCGGAAATGGAAATGGCATTTATTCTATCATGCACGAGAGTGACGTCATAGCTTTTTTACCCTTCGCTAGGATTTTATAGGTGTTACTCCTCAAATCTCTTCTGGCATGTAAATGTATCGAAAAATGAACAAAATATTATAAAATATTAAACTTAAAAAATATTATTATATTTATTTTAATACAAAAATAGCTAATCTAAAGTTGTACTACTAATACATACAGCTGAACACAAATTATAGTTAATTATAATTGAAGAACTTTAATTTTAAATCCTATAATTATAAACTTTTTTGTTTTAAAAACATATAAATCTATTATTATAAATCTATTATTCATACTTCTTTTAATATTGTGCTATATGATATTGTTTGAATCAAAATCCTTGGTGTAATAGTATGAAAGAGCATGTGACAAATAAATTTGTTTAAATTAATTTTTTTCTTGTTATGTAATAGCTTCATGGAGAAAGTACGTATATCTCGTTATAACCATCAAAGTTTAAGAGCAATCACCAGCAATATAATTAATTTTACCTAATTTACGAAGGCAATTACTATAATAATGTGTTCTTGTTTGACGAAAAACCATAGTGGTTACGACATTGCTTTAGCAAATAACAAATTTTTAGTAAAAAATTGTGTGTGTCTTTGGATCTAAAGTTCATGAAATGATATGTAGAGTTTATAAGGACCATGCTATGAGAAAAAGGATATTGTGATGTCCTCGTAATGTTCATTCACAAATCGTCAAGTGCGAACTATAAATTTTGCTTTATTCAAAATACGGATATTGCATTAACTATTAGTTTAAAATCAAAATGGTAAATGCAGCTTAGAATTGGCATGAAACAAGTAATCTTATATTGGATATTTTATATTTATTGTGTTTTATATTTTTTGTAATATCTGTATTTTTTATTTTACACTTACTTAATTATGTGTATGTATTTCATATTTGTTTACTAATTAATATATACTGTTAATTGAACTTATAAATAAAATATTTTCTTCTTTTTCCTAAAAAAATTTAATAACTGCAATTTGTGAAATTTCCTCTTTAATTAATTTTCTTCTATTAAAATATTTTCCCAATTTTTACTGATTCAATTACAAAAAGATAAGAGAAAGTTGCCGAATTTGGACTGACTTCTAGATTGGATCACTGTGAGAAATTTTGGTTCTACAGTGTTTGCAGAGTGTCTCTCAATTATCTCCTTACTGCTTTTGCTAAACAAGAAGCAAAACCAAAATTTCTCATGGCGATTCAATCTAGAAGTCGGTCCAAATTAGGCAACTCTCCCCTATACAAAATAAAATAATATGTCACTTTGTGTCATTTACCTTACAAGTATCTTACGTTGTACTCAGATATTTTTTTAAAAATCACACAAAGCAAATATTTTATAATCACAATATATAACACATTTAAATGTATAAACTATTGTATATTACAAATTTAATAAAAGATATTTATTATGCTATTATTACGAACTTTATATCACTGCATATCCTTAATTTGATTTTATCGTGATTACTTCTAAGAGACACTTGTTCTCCAGAACACATCACACGATGACTGATGTCTCTACGCATGCACGTATTATGTTTGTATATAAATCCCCTCCTTTCTGTCTCTTTTTTACCCGCACTTGTTGATAATAACTTCCTCAAAGCTGTTTATTTTATTGCAATATATAATGTTTTTGCTTTAATTACCTTTAATAAACAAATTATTCGAGTCTTATAAAATATTACGAAATGACGAAAATGAACATTATAAATTAATTATTGCTTATATTCGAATTATTTGAATTGTCTAAACTCAAAGTTTATTTTTTATTTTGGAAAACGATAAAAAATACTCAAATAAAATATACTTATGCATCGAATATAAATACAATATATTCAAATGTTTTGTCTGAGTTCTTTTCTAATTTTGGATATTTGTTAAACTATGTAAATTTTGCTGGAAATGTAAAAATCATGATGAAAATTTGTAACATTTTTTTTAGTAATTTTAGAATTAAATATAACATATATTTATGATATAAGAAATGATTTACACTATAAACTTTACGTTTAGAAAGAATTGAAATAAATATTGAGAGATAAGTATTTCAAAATATTCTTCAACCTAAAAACATGTTTTGTTTTGCTTTTAATCTTTTTCACCTAGAAATATCTGTATTTAGCAAAATAAAATAATTTTTTATTCTGAAAAAAATGTGTAAACAACAGTAATGAATATTTTTAGTTTTATATATTTTGTTTCCTTTGGAAAAAGAGTAAGAAAAAATAAAAAATCGTAAATGTAAAATCGATTTTATTTGCAAAGATCTTCAATAGATGTCAAGAATGATTACAGAAAGATTGGAGAAAGAAGTCTATTCTAAGTGTGTTCTATAACTGAGAAACTGGCACGTGGATTATCTACCGTTAAGAGAATCGTTCTCTGGTCAGAACCAGCTGCATAGGCAGAATGTGCAGCGAGTGTATAGTGCAGTCTGGTAGAGTGAATGCTATCAAAAGTATAACTCTAGGTCAATGTACTCTCTTTCGTAGCATTGCGCTCAAAGATCCGAATGATTCTGCAATATTTTACAGAATCCTTTTTTTTATAAATGTCATTTAAACAAAGTAAAATAAATTTTATGTATTTAATATTTAATAAAAACTTTATAAATTATACATAAATAAATTAGTAAATATATTTTTAAATAAGTATTTAATATAAAATAATCAAATTTTATTTAACACAAATTGATTTTGTTTTAATTGATTAATAACAATTTTAATTTATTTTTAATTTTGCACAAAGATTTTTGTTACTATAAAAAATTGTTCATTAAATATTATATTATATAGTAAATAAAATATTTATTAATTTAATATTAATTTAAAATGGATTATATACAAATTGTCAGACTATTCTATTTATAGTATTTTGTATAAAATTTACAGCGGTATAATTTTCTTTTGTCATGCAGTCAATCATGTTGAGGTAGCAAATATTTTACATGGTATTTGCTTTGTCATGTCTAATGAAATTCAGATATCTGTCGAATCGTGACTGCAGGAAAACAGAAACAACATGTTAGTAAAATTTACTAACTATTACTATTTAAGTAATATTTAATATAATAACAAAATTCAAGATATGTAAATTTCAAAGACAAATATGTAAATTAAAAACAATGATTTTAATACCCTTCTTTCTTTTCTTTTGTTTAACAATAAAGTAAAGTTTTTCCATCACTTACCTTTCGGATTTTTGCGCATTTTTCTGGACCACGATCTAATAGAGAAAATATGATTGTTTCGATCGCGCGGTGGCATTGATGTTCCAGGCAAACTTCCAAATGCAAGATTAATCTGTCCACCAACAATTATTATTATTACGTCGCAGGTAAATGATAACAACTCACGACACTATTACAAAAGGGATTTATGATGTAATGATAGAACACTCTCCAAAAATTAAAGCACTTTCACAATAGAAGATTATTCATTGACGTTTGTTGCTTTCAATTTAATAAGTAAGCGCAATGATTTTTATTTTCCTTTTGGCAACTTTCTCGCTATTCTTTTCTCCCGTTATTATTTATCTATGCAATGCGTTTCACTGTATAACACACGATATGTGTTTCATTGCTTTCTTATTTGATTTTCTTATATATAGCGTGACCATTACCGATTCATCTCATCTAAAATAGTGGTTTGTTAAAAAAAAAATTAAATAAATTGGATGTTGTATTTATTTAAAAAGAAATTCGTCAATTCTGCACAAAGATTTGTTACTATTTAAATGCTACACATACATTAATTTGTAAATCGTTGTGGTCTCTCTCTTAAATATAAGAAAATTTTCATTAATAATTAAATTTATTATTAAAGAATTGTATGAGATTTTTTTTTAAATAAGCAATAAGTAATTTACGATTTTTTGTTTTAATGTATTGAATTAGATTAAAGTGCTATTTAAAGTTATTAAGCTTATTTAAAGTGTATTTACTTGATCCTGTTTCTACTACTAAATATTTATGCTGTAAAGTCCAAAATATCGGATAATACCTGCTGAAAATTAATAATTAGTTTTCAAAAGTGATAATGATTCAAAATGTAAGTACTTTATCGACCCAATTTTGATGACAGGGAAAGTTTTGTTAAGCGTAATTGAAATTTGGCGACTTAATTCAATAATTAATTTCAAATGCTTTTGCTCATAATTTTGCTTTTATGTAGAATGCAGAATGCAGAGACACAGAAAGCAATAAACTGTGTGACATCGAGACGACTTTCAATTGCAGACAATTGATATCTCGTATTCTTTTGTTTTTCAAAGGTCACTTCCTACGAAGCATGTAATTTTACTGTGACAACAGCAAAATTTTACAATTTCTCTAAATATGTAAGTAATAAGAATAGGGGATCTATGTTCAAATGACATTTTTTACTCAGAATGACTGTCCAAACAATCTGATAAAGTTTGTTACACTTGTTCTGAATCACCCTGTATATATATATTTTATTTTATTTTGTGTATCCTATATTTTAATATCAAAGTTTTAATAAGATAAAGTTAATTTTTACTTTAAAAAATTATTTTAAAATTTAATCTTTCACATTTCTCACATAATTTAAATATGACTCTCTCGAGCAACTTTGATAAATCACACAAGCAAAATGGTTTTTTCACAAATTTCACGGAAATATCCACAAATATTAACAATGTTGATGCATTTCAGAAAAAAAATATGTGAAAAACGATATAATACTGGGGGTGACTTTACTCGACGAACTTGACCGAGCGCTTTGCGTTCGTTATATAGGCTCGACAAAGACTACGACTTCGTTTCAATACTGTGCTAGATTTACCCGGAATACTGGTTACAGTACAGTGGTTAAGGGTGGGGATTTATAGATCGGTGGTAGAGATCCCTTTCTACAGGTATATGTATATTAAACTATTAGACTTTTTCTTCTAATTTTCTTGTTCTCTTTTTAACTTCCTTCTTATCTTTTCTTTTTTCCACTATTTTACATATGCCTGAACATGCAATGATACTGAAGGGAGAAAGCGAGTAACAAAACGGAAGATATTATGCAATAAATTTTTGTATTGATGGATAACATTAAATAAAAAAAATCATAACGTAATAACGATCAATATCATTGCATAGTGTGTCTGTAGGTTTGTGTTATCTATGTGTTATGCAGTAATCACACAATATTCAGTAAACACATAGTAACAGTGATATAACATTGGCGTTATGTTACTGTTTGTGTTTACTGAGTATATTGTATTATTGAGAGAGTAAATGCAATATAATTATAATATTTTAAATAGTTAAAATATTAAAAATAATTCACATTAAACACGGAACACTTAATATATTTTTTACAAGTTGGAGAGATAATATCTGCAAATTCATTTTTAAGCAAATCAGAATCAATAGTAATTGCAAGTAATTTATTAATTGATAATAATTTATTAATATAATAAATTTATTAATATAATAAATTTATTAATATTAGTACATTAAATATTTTAGCAATTAGTATCATTTTTAAATTTGTATAGAAAAATAAACTTTTACCTATTATTTTAAACTAAAAAATCTTAAAAATAAAATAATAAAAAATAAAAAATTAGTTGCTCCGCTATATCGATAATCTACATTCTGTTTTATTAAAGTGCGAGCATCTCTGCAAATTAAAAATATCTTTACCATTTGAGTGTTACCTGGTTTTGAATGTATTTACCATGAGATACCAAAGCAACCAGATATACTTTCTTGTATGAAGTAAAGCAAAAATAAATGCAACAATTCGGTCGGTAAGTTTTGAATTTATTTAATCACTTTATTTGATAATTAAATAATTTTTCAATTAATATTTGTAATATATTATATTTATACGCAAAGTTTTCCACAATTTTGTGTAATTTATCTGAATTTTTCAGGATAAGAAAATTTCTTGCCATTTGAAAACGACTGATGAAACTCGGAAAACTGGTTTGCGTCGTATCTTGTCGACCTTGTTTCTGTTTAAAATATGTCAATGCCAGTTTGAGAAACATTTGCGATTCACTTTATAGCTAATTTTGCATACGTTTATCGTCTATGTAACTTTCTCAGACGACACGCATATCTTAAAGATACCTGAAAGACATCTAAAAAAACATCATTTTTTTTTGCTGACTTTTTTTTGCTGACATTTTTTTTTTAGAAGTTTTTTAGATGTTTTTAAGACATGTGCGTCTAGGTTTGATGTAATATTTCAAAAATAAAAAACCTCTCGTTGACTGAATAAGGAAGTATGATTCAAGAGTTATTACGTAACTAATCGAAGATATAATACAAATCTCGTAGTGTATGCGCCATCGAGAGAAAACGAAAGTGTAATCACTGTTTCAAGACGATTTCAGTCTGTCGAGCTCTTGATTTCAGTTCTCTTTATGTGTCATTTCCTCAATGTATATGAAAGTCATAACTATTGAGTTACACAATGATAGTGAATACATATGGATCACATACAACAATTTTAACATTGAGCGATGTTTAAAGTTGTTTTACTTATGCGATCATATCTCTAAACCTCAGCGAATATTGAAAGATTCAGCTTAATAGATAACTTTTATAATGTAAACATTTATTAAACAATTAAATATTTAAAATTATATTAACGTAATTATTTTAGACAAAGATAAATATTGATGAATTAGAACTATTATTTATGATAATGTTGTCTATTATAAATGTTATTATAATATAAATTACATATTTCCAAAAATTTACACTTTTCTATAATGTAAAAAAAGATGTAAAAAGAATTAACTATTATTAGAATAGAAAAGAATTAACTATTATTATGTAAAATTTAACATTTAAGAATTTAACATTGGCCATAAAATGGGAATCTTATTGTTATTTAGCAATAAATTTTATCTTTATTATAACCACATACAAAAATTTGCATTGTAAAGTTATACATAAAAAAATCTTTTTCGTATTTTTGATTAATAAATCTATTTAAAATATTTCAAGGAAATTATAATTTTTGAACATTAATTGCATTTATAAAATAAGTTTATTATCGAATTGTAACGGCGAAAAGTAAAAGATGATAATATTCTGATATTTTGTTGCGAATTTTGTAAGCCCATATCAAAATACATGTTAAAATTATGTATACAAGACTAAAAGAAAACTAATACATATTCACAGATATGGAAATATAAATGGCAATATTTTATGTCAGAATTTTAAATACTAGTATTTTAAATAATAATAGTCATATAGCTACAGTGGGAACAAAAGCATTAAGATTATCCGAATTGAATTTCGACATTTACAATGCGATAACTGTTTTTGTTGCAAAAAATCGCAAGACAAGTTCTCGAAATCTTCAGTAATAAATTACAATTCTTAAAAATACAACAAAAAACTACGTAAAGTCCGGATATTTATTGCTCAAATTCTTTTAAGAAGAAAATTACACAAAACAGACGTTTCGGCTACTAAACAGACATTTTGGCCATCATCAGTGTAACAATTCAAAAAAATTAAAAATAAATATTAGCATGTACAGATCATGGAGGTTAACGCTTACACAGAAATAATTAAAGATAAAATTCAATCTTGGACTTGCAAAATTTTAAAAACGTAAACGCAATGAAAGTCAACAAAAAGACAATAATTAGCAATAAAAAATTCCTTCTTGACATACGTAAAATGACATTGGCAAGGAGCTCAAAAGGTACATCCAAAAAATCCAAAAAGGTTTTAATCTTCGTTGAATCCATGCGTGATAAATTTGAAAATTATTAATTGTTGTTCCCAATGATAAAATTTGGGGCCAAATTGGATGTTTCTCCATATGGTGTGTGTGATTAAAATAAAAGATAGCGTCTCCTTTCAAACATTATAAGCAGTGAAGCGATCAGCATGAACCTTGTGAACATTAAAGCAATAATTAAAGCAAAAACTCAAAGATAAAAGAAATAAATTAATAAAATTTAAAATCTTGAAAAATGTACCTCATAGTACGGGCGGAAGCAAATGGAAAGAAACTCATGTCCAAAAAATGTAAAACAGAAAATTGGTCGGAATAAAAGAACGTGTTTAATCAATCAAAAGTTTCTTGACGACTTATCATTGGGGAACGTGTGAGAGAGGGTGACGATCAGAGCTGAGGAGATAAGAAGGAAAAGGAGGGGAAGGAAAGAAGTAGAAAAGGGGACGGAAGGGGGAACAAAAATATCTAAAAAGTGGGGAACTTAGAGAGGATAGGTAGATATGAATCCGGAAAGAGTTCGGTGTCATTCTGTTTATTGAGGCTATTAGGTTGACGTTTGATATGCAGCATTTCGGAAATCAATTTTTTGCCATATGAGGACTCACTATCTAAAACTTTAACATGATCCCAATCGAAATCATGGTTCAAATTCAGTCTATGAGCGGAGATGATAGAAAGAGAGCCAGATCTTTTCTTAATATCTATCTGATGTTTTTTGATTCTCGTTTTTAACTGTCTCTTGGTTTGATCAACGTAAGAAGCATCGTACTCAAAACAAGAAATTTTATATACAACTCTACTCCGCTGCATAGTATCTAGTAAATCCCTTCTTGTTTTTATGAATATGTCTAGTTTATTATTACAAAAGAGGCAGTTTTAAAGTTGTATTTATTGATTTTGGATTAAAATATTTCCGAAATGCCTTTGATGTAAGGGATTAAGAAAAATTGTTTTTTATCTCTATGAGAGTGTGAAGATATATTTATACTAATTAAAAATTCTTCTTGTGGAATTGAGGTATTTTTGGAAATTAAGAATCAACGCTTTCTGATACTGTTAACAGCTGACTCGACGGGAATATTAGTGAATAAGGAAACAACGTCTAATGAGGCTAACTGGTGATTTGAATCAACGACAATGTTTTTTAATTTCTCAACAAGATTAAAACTGTCTTTAATGAAACTGTTAGAATTGGATAAGTTTTTTTATATGATACCATGGAGAAAAACTGCTAGTGGGTAAAGAGAGCTGTCAACAGATGAAACGATAATTCTCATTGTCAGTGAATTACCAGGTTTATGGATTTTTGGCAAACCAAAATCTAAAATAAGTTTATTATCGAATTGTAACCGCGAAAAGTAAAAGATGATAATATTCTGATATTTTGTTGCGAATTTTTTAAGCCTATATCAAAATACGTGTTAGAATTATGTATACAAGACTAAAAGAAAACTAATACATATTCACAGATATGGAAATATAAATGGCAATAATATTTTATGTCATAATTTTAAATACCAGTATTTTAAATAATAATAGCCATATGGCTACAGTGGGAATAAAAGCATTAAGATTATCCGGATTGAATTTTGACATTTACAATGCTGAATAACTGTTTTTGCAAAAAGTCGCAAGACAAGTTCTCGAAATAACCAGTGACAAATATTTTCGTTAAAATACGTCACGATGTCGTTATAATTTGTAATTACTGTAAAGGCAAAAATAATTTTCAAATAGTTATGGACGGTAATAAAATTGTAAGAATTAAAAAAGAAACATCTAAATAAAAATTTTATTAAAATCTCTTCCTTTGCGTACATTTTTATCAAAATTAGTTTTACTTACTATTTTCTATACATTTAGAAAACTGTGTATAATTATTTTTTATGCTTTTCTTTGAATTATATAAGACTTTTTTATTATGCCAGATAGAAAATATTTCTCGAAGATTAAATTTAACATTATTCTATGAATGCATGATTCTTTGTAATTATGATTATCAATATCTGCATACGCTGCCAGCCTGATTTAAATCCCGGATTATCTGATTGTAATCTTTTTTGTCTGCAGTACATATTTATAGGATCGACATGTGTATATCTTACGTTCGCCAGGTAGACACAGTCATATTATTAAATATTGAACGAAGCTATGTCGCGTGTACTTGAAATATCAATGCGCACTTCGACCGAGTGCGCTTTTTGTAGACGACTTTATACAGTGGCTGATTTAACCTTCAGCAGATGCTATAAAGTTTTTTAGACTTATCAATGAGTAATTAATAGTAAGCTATACAAAATCAAATTTTACCTGTAAAATAATGTTATTAAAATCTTTTTCTTATCCTTATCTTCTAATTTTTAATATATTTTAATTTAAGCATTCTATATCGGTTTTATAGTAGCAAAAGTTTAATATTATCGTATCTAATAATTATGTTCAGTAAGCGTATCAGAAGATTTAATAAATTTTTATTAAAAATGTCATGTTCCTATGCGTAATTCCTATTTTCTGAGAATTTTCTTTCCATTTAGTATTTAGCTGTAAATAGTTTTCATGCGATAATACATATAATAGAGAATTTTTATACTATCCTCTAGCAATACGTATATTATAAGTTTTGCGCTAAAATTAGATAAATTGCGGTGCATATATTTATTAAACAGAATATTTCGAGAATCTTTTTGATTTTATCTGCAATTCGCTACCATCTTTATCATTCTTTTATTGTTGGAGAAAAGTGATGGACAAATAAGAGTTCTAAAAAGAGGATCGCCTTGAGTGTCATTGTAACTATTTTTATTACTGACGAAAACATTATTAAAATTTTATGTGCTATAAAATTATGTACAAAACTTTTGTTTTTTTTTCTAACTTGTACAAGTATTTATTTATATTATTAATTAAATATCTAAGTACACATACATATGACTATATCAGATTATCGATTTTTATATTTTAAATTGTTATTTATTATTTATTACTTTTATTATTTAATATTTGTTAATATTTTTAAAAATATATGTTACTTTTAGTATTTTAATATCTTGCTATTTTATAGTAAATTTTTATTTTAAAAATATATGTAGTTTTGTAAAATACAAATAAAGTATAGTAAAGTACAAATACATGTACATAATTTATGTATCCTGCAATAAAGATTGCCCGAGTGCCGTTCCGGTTTCTAGTTAAATTTCACTTCCATTTGGTAGTGTTGCGAACAAAGCATAAGGCCTTACACTTTTTATTTTGCTAATAATTAATATGTTTAAAAAGCATTAATGTTTTATTAATAATAATTTATGATTTAAAATATTAATAATTTTTTGTTTTTCAATTTATTCACCATTATTAGATGTAAGAATATTTGCAAAAATGGCTGGAAATATCTGCGCTCGACCTGAAAAACTTGTTTACGCATACTATATGTTATACACGGTGTCTTAAAAATCATGACTTTAAGTTGAACAATTCAAGAACTTATTCTTTAGTTGTTACACTGCATTTTATCTAAATATTTTTTTAAACATAGATCTCTTCTTAAAAGCGGTTATTAGTTGCTTCAAGAGTGAAGATTAAAATTATAAATAGTGAAAATAGGTGTGGTTTCTATTAGAAGTATGCGATGTACTTTTCAATGTCATGTTTTCATAGAATGCAACTGTTTTGTAACTTGCCTTTCAATAAATATTGTTATGTAATTGTTATATATTTATGTATTTCAAATAATCTATGTAACAAAAAATTATTATATAATTATAGTCAATTATAAAATTATTACATATAATTTTTACTTTCTTATTGCCTATTTTCAAGACGAATATGAAGTAGAAAACAAATATCAAGTGCAAAAGACTTGCAAAAAGATTATAAACGTTTTTAAGGTATGACGTGAGATGGTTTTTGTCTTTCTGCGTTTTACAAGCTGCATAAATAAAAAATTGTTTAATGTCTGTAATGAGATAATATATAGTTGAATATTTTTTGGTGTTTTATTTTATTATAAATACTAATGTTATTTATTTTATTCGATTATTGCGTAGGTATAAAATGTGTATTGCATCTTGAAAGCTTGTTTCATGCAATTATCTTTAAACAAAATAAACATCTCTTTTGACAATTTTTATGACAGTTTTTATATGTTTATTGTCTTTTTAATATTTTATTTAATTTTATTGTGAGAAAAATGTGCAAAAACTGTTTAGTCACCCATTCATTCTCAAATGCGTCACTGTAGTCTTTCTATTTTATTTACCAAAAGAAGAATAAAAGCAAAAGATAAGGGATTCTTCTTGCTTGAGCAAACCGGTTTTTGTACTTATTCATCTTGATCAGAATTCAGTTGAGCAGAACAATTTAGTAATTTTATATTATATTTCCAAGAAATTCTGTAATGATTTTAATAAAGAATCTTAGAAATAAAATGCTGCAACTTTTTACTTAATTTTATTAATAAATATTTTGCAAGAAAAACTAAATTGCGATTAAACAGTCATTTTTATCTATTTATACTAATTAGCGATTTGTAGTTATATAAATATATTTGAATAATTATTTTGAATGATTCAGGATTTGTTCAAGTAATTCTTTGAAAAGGCGCAAAGTTTTACCCCTTCTAACAAAAAGTGGGAAAACTGTTTTACTCAACGCGGGACATTGCACAAGCGGAGTACAATCCAATTGTCCGTGAGTTCTGGCTGGCCTAAGCTGAGTCAGTTCTCGCTGCAGCTTCGTCGTGGCCAGGCGGTCATTCTTACTCTCGCGCGGTCTTTCAATTTCCTGGTCGTGCTTTCGTGTTTGAGATCTTCTGTCGATCGATTTCTAAGTGAGATAAGTATGTGAAACGTCATTGTGATTGTATAAGTGTCTTTACGCTGTGGGTTTCGAAGAATTTAAAATTACCTCGGTATTTTTTATAATACAATTACATCAAGCATCGAATCTCCAAAGTTGTTCCATTAAAATCTTTAAATGAGAACAGAAGTAACACAAATTATTTTCTTGAAATTTTTAATAAATTCCATTATTTTAAAAATAAGTTCTTTAATAATCAAATTTTAAACATTTTCTATTGTGGAGAATTAACTAAATATATTGATTAAAATTTCGAAGAGTTTTACATTAATCGGCAAACAAATTAATGGCAAAGTTGAAACTTTTATATTAAAAATTTTTTAACTTTAAATTTTTTTTTTAAATTTCTTTATTTCCTTTTATTTTTAAATATTGAAAATTTTCTATAGTTTTATCTATAGCTTGGAATTTACTAGATCCACCAGACATGTTAATCAGGAACAAAGTTTCCTAGGAAAAAACAGAATCCTTTGACATATTGTGTGTCAAGACGTATCATGTGTGCAACTGTTATCAAGAATCATACAATAGTCATTATTTGCTATAAGAAGTATATTCAATAACACGAATTATGATTAGTCATCTAATTTTGCGGAATAATAAAATTGAATAAGAATAAAAAAGAATAAAAAATGATTACAAACTAGACTGCACAGATAAAATACGTGATTTAAAAATAAATTTTGTTTAAACAAATATTGTTAATAAAAAATAAAAAATAAAAATTGTGTGAAAATACATCTTTAAAAAGTTATTGCAAAGAAAAACTTACTAAAAGATGTATTTTTCTACTATTGAAATAACTAAATAACAAAGAAAGTCACTCAAAACAGCTATAAAAAAGATATTTAAAGAATAATTCTCGAAGAATCTTTATTGAAAGTACCTGTCTTGAAGATATGTGCGGTCAGATAAGTGGAAAGACATGAGTAATGTAAACACGGAAATGATTTAAGCAAAGAAGTATCACGCAAAACTGCTTGCCAGTTGACCTTACACCGATTGATCTCCTGGAAATTTTTTGTTCGGAAAAGCAGTGAACGTCATCGTTGTTAGTGGAATTGTGCAGGTTTGTAATCTTCAATCACGAACCTTATTTGGTCATCGTATATGTGAGACATATCATTTTTATATTAATCATTTTTGTATTTACGGAGAAACAGATTATATTTTATGATTAATATATAAAATAAATATTAAAAAGTATATAAAAATTGTACACAATATAAAGATTGATTGTGTGTGTATGATATCAGATTTCGGGAGATATATAGTAAAAAGATATATAGAGAAGATGTATATATAGTAAATTATAAAATTACTATCCCAGACAACACAGCATATCCAAAAGACGTCCAGAGGATATCCCGAAGATGTTTTTGGGAAGACAGAACGTTCTTTGGATATCCTTTGGATGTATTTTGAACATGTGTGTTGTCTGGGATGACATTTTCTAGTAACATCATCGTTATCCTTGCAATATCAATTGTGCATAAAAAAAGTCAATCTGCACGATTGATGATTGCAGTAATATCATTAACTCGCAATAATTTTTTTTTTGTAAACGCATAAATAAGTCATTATGCAAATTGTCAAATGGAAAAATGCTGCTCCAAGATTGCACTTAATGTCAACAACTTTGCATAGCAAAGAACTTCGTTATTTTTTATCCATGTGACACTATTCTGCGTAGCATTCTATATAGTATTCTACATAGCATTAAAATGTTATTAATAAAGCGGTAAAAATAAGGTGTTTGGGAAAGATTACGAAATCTTTCGTGACTGAGCAAGACAATCTTTTACCGTTTATAATTTTCGCAATAATTATTGAAATAATAATTAAAAAGAATTGACAAAAGAACACGCGTTTCGTACAGTTAGACTGAAGTTCCTCAAGTAAGAGTTAAGACACCGTCTTAATTAATAAAGAATGCTGTGGTGTTTGACTTAAATTATTTGCTTTAACCTATTCAAATTACACAACTTCTTTCTTTCTACAAAGAAATTAAAATAATTATGCAATATAATATACAAGTCTTACATCAACCACGCGATAATGGTACATTTTTAAGATCATTTTCAGATAAAAATGAGAAGCATTTAAAGTCGACTAATCAGATTGCTTCAAATTTACGCGTTTAGCATGTAGGACAGTAATAAGAATATTCTCAGATACTTCCAAATACCACTTTCAAATTTCTATCGAGAGATTCGTTTTTTTTTTCTATATAATTTTATCTTAATATTTAATAACTATTTGCGTATACATATCTCATTTATTACTACATATTTCAACGTTACTTCTGGCTGTCGGTGTTATTGCACATGATAGAACAATAAAAAATCATCTCCTCGGTGTCCTAACTTTTACTGGAGGAACTCGAGGCTAGATCGTCCTAGGATATACTCTCTAGGCAACGAGTGTCACGAAATATTTAATCGCTTGTAAGGTAACACGCAAGCAGAATTTTTACTTTTCATTGCCGTGCGACATTCATCGCTTTGAACTTTGTGCAGTTTATTGCGTTCTATCCTCACAAGAGATTTCGTAATCTTTCCTAGTCCTTTCTCTGAAAAATATTTACTAATCAGAGAGACGTTTAATGTTGTCACAGTATTCAGTATTAAATTAAAAACTTTGTAGCGTGAATGGTAGTTTACCAATTTAAAATAACTATTGAATAAATGTAATAATTTACAAAAAAACAATCATCAATTAAATAATCTTCACGTTCTATAATTATGTTAATTTATTATATCTTTTGCAATGCTGACAAACTTGTTTGATTACGTCTGTCAATAACTTAAGCAAGTTCATTGGGAAGAAACGGCTGATGAATTAAGCCGAAAGAAAGGAAAGCGATCAGACGTAACCTTAGGCGGTCTCTCTTTCGCTGCTCTTTCGTAATACATCTCTTTCTCTCTCTCTCTTTCTCGTGTAAAGAAATAAGCAAATTACGTGAAAGCAAGTGTTGCGTAGCACATAGCTTACTCATCGCTCACATTTTTTGGTTATACACATTTGATGTAATAAGACGTTAACGTAGATTTTGTAACGTAAATTGTTCCTGTTTTTCTATTATTTATTGATATAACATGATTCTCAATAGCTATCTATAATTTTTTTCTAAATAAATTTTATTAAATTTATTTATTAACTTCCTGAATTATTGTAGCCACTTTCATTATTTCGAATTATTTTCTAAAAATAAATATTTAAGTGTTATGTTAAATAGTTTAATTGAAAATAATGTATTAATTAGCTTAATGCGTTCCATAACGCATTGATTTTACGTGACTTTCCATTCACGCCACATGAATCACCGATGATCCATATTGTCGAATTTATTACATATATTTGCGAAGTATGTGTGTCTTTCTCAATATTTATAAGAGCGGAAAGAAATTGTTACGCTGCATAGGCATGACTTATGGCGTGACGACTGCATTGTCTGTATTAATTGATTTAATATTATAAAATAGTGTATTAATTGATTTAATGTTATAAAATACTTTATGATAGTGTTTTCTTAGGAATAAAAATATCAAACGGTCTGAATAGAAAGTCTAGCGTAAGTCATCAATAGCCAACGTAACATGGAACGTGTTAGCGATTATGGCTTTCAGATGTTCAGTCTTGATGAGTTTATATGCATTACTTCCTGGATTGCTGAATACACAATTCTAATTATTACAGCTTTTAGATGAAAAAATTTTATCATGTCAAAGCGATTAAAAAGTAATATTAATTTATTTTATCTTTCGAAGATACAATTGCTGTGATAATAAAATACAGAATTAATAATAAGAAAAACCTTTTGCGCAAAGAGATAAAATCTAAATAATGCTTTCAAAAAGTTTTTGCATTTTAATAAACATGATAATTGCATGCAATACACTGAAATATAAGAAAGATAATTGCCGCGAAGAAACTGATAAAATTCTTTATAACATGGCCCAATTAATCGGTCATGGTGGTGATCGTGACGCAATGTCGATTACCCAACGAATCGAGAAGTATACTTCACATTTTAGAAATTTTGCCGAGTCATCAAAGCGCGATATAATAAAAAAGAACTTGTAGCTTCAAATATTATCTTCTATGCGCGCGGTTCTTATAAAATAAATGAACGTATGAATTATTAAACACTGCTTTTTGAGTTTAATGACGTCACTTAAAATTGTTTGATCGCTTTAAAATACGTCAAATATTGAAAATGTTCCGGAAACGGTGTGTTGAGTAGAACAAACCATTAACGCGCATACTCGAGCACCGTTAATCAATATGTAAACATATCAATTTGAGCAGATCGGCGAATTGATGATAAATAATTAATCTCGTTTTCAGCTTGCTAATACCTAAGTTAATTTTTTATTATTAAATAGTGCAGTTGTGTTTAATGAATAATATCTTATAATATGATATAATGTGATAGCTCTCTTATTTGCATGACTGATTCAGATAGAAAGAGAAATTTTTCGAACTTGCGTTCTGACAATTGCGCGTCGCGCATAGTTTATCATTTAATGATTTAGAAATGTAGAAAATTATTATGATCAATTATCATTGTCTGCGCTATAGTGATTAGAGGAAGAAAAATAAATCTAAATAATAAAAAGGAAAAGACAGATAAAGTTTTTGATCAATCTAATATAATAATTGAATAACGGAGGGAACTGAAAAATACACAATTCTACCTTTTCTCTCAGAAATGGAGGGTGCAAGTACACCGAGCACGCTTATGGAATTGAAAACGCGAAGACAGCAATTTCAACCGCAAATGTCGACCTTGGACACAAGAAGAAGGCAGGCAGTTTGCGTGAGAAGAGCTTTCAAGAAATATGGATCTAAGAGTAACCCGAATGTCATTCTGGACGGACTTAACATGACTGTGCCAAAAGGCTCGATGTAAGTATCTATTTGTCAATAATTAATCGATATTAAGTAGTATGCATTACATACTAATTGTTTTTTCTTTAATTAATTTTTAATAAATTTTATATGCAGTTTATGTAAAGAATATAAATCATACAGAAAAAGAACAAATTTTAAATAATAAATTAATAAAATTAATAAAATAATAAATTTAATAAAAACGAGTGATAAATCAAAATTTATCAGGGGAATTTCTCTCATTTATCACTCGTTTTTTGTGATATTAGACATACAAACGTGCGCTACACACGTGCCATTTATTCCTTTAATCACAAAAAATCACATAAAATATGTACAATTGTCAAAAACTTTGCAATGGCTGCCACTCATGATATTAATTAAAAGCAACGAAGAAATCAATCAGCATCGCGGAAAAGCGGTAACAATGAACTTCGATTCTATTAAGAGATATCGGATAACATACCTTTTTTAAATGTGGACAAGACACAATACACAAGCACGCGCTACGCGTTATGTATTCTTTTAATTACAAAAAAGTATATATGTTGTAACTCTATTTAAAAAAGACACTTTGAATATTTTTCTCAAATTTTCTCAAAATTTTGCAATGATAACTTCTCGATAGTACAAAATGTCATCACGCACAACGTGCATCGAGATAACTAATCGGCGTCGCGGAAAAGTGGCAATAAAAGCAACTCATCAATTTTTTGTGCGTCAATGAATAAAAAATCTAAATTGCACAACGTAGTACGTATTGCATTAAGTGTACGCAAGTAAGACGTTTAATGAATATTTTGTAAAAAAAAGAATATATTAGCATAATAATGTGTCAATTCTTGTTAAAAAATTTTATAAAAATTGAAGTTCCTTCAGAACATTTATGAATTTTATTGACAATAATTTATTTTGCTTATATCATTATCATATTCAACGATACTAGATTGCATGGCAAATATTTCTTATGTAAATACTGTAAAAAAGTCAAACGACGACTTGACATGAAAAAGACTTTTGAAATTGCAAACTATGTTCTTCTTTCAGTTTATTACATTTAACTTTTATGAATATTTTCTAGAGCATGTATTTTTCTTCATATATCATACTTTTTAAATTTATATTTCTAAATCATACTTCTAAATTTTTTATGTTTGTATTTACTTAATAAAAATATGAAAAATTTGTGCTTTTATAATTATTTATGATATTATAAGTCATATCATATAATAATTATATTTTAATAATATATATGATATTGCGTAGTTACTTATACTTTTATTTAAATATTATAAAATCTAATCTAAAAATTGCTGCTTTATTATTTTTAAAAACATACATGCCTAATATTATTTTTCATTATAATAAATGTTTTGTGTACAGTTATGGGCTACTTGGTGCGAGCGGTTGCGGAAAGACTACTCTATTATCGTGCATCGTCGGTCGGAGGCGTTTGAATTCTGGCGAAATTTGGGTACTAGGTGGTCGACCAGGTTCCAAAGGATCCGGTGTACCTGGTCCACGCGTCGGCTACATGCCGCAGGAAATCGCTCTCTATGGCGAGTTCTCTATTCGGGAAACGTTCATTTATTTTGGCTGGGTCGCCGGCATAACGACAGATGTAGTAGAGGATAAGCTGGAATTCCTGATAAAGGTGAGAAATAAAATTTTCAAAAGATTTAATCCTGAAAAGAATTTTAATTGTAATTAAAAAATGTCTAGAAAGAAAACTCTTTTGGAAAAATTTATTTTGTTTTTACTTTATCATAAGTATCTTTATTACAAAAAAATTATGATCTGCTAACACTCGTACTCCAATTGCAGTTTTTGCAATTACCGCCCGAAAATCGTTTTGTCAAAAATCTATCCGGTGGCCAGCAAAGAAGAGTGTCCTTCGCAGCAGCTCTTTTAGCTGATCCCGAGCTCTTGATCCTGGATGAGCCGACGGTCGGCGTGGATCCTGTTCTTCGACAGAATATCTGGGATTATTTGGTGCAGATCACCAAGGACGGCAATCATACCGTTATTATTACCACGCATTACATCGAGGAGACCAGGCAAGCCAGCATCATCGGGCTAATGAGAAGCGGCAAATTTTTAGCGGAGGAATCTCCGAGAAGATTGATGGAAATGCACCGACTGGATACTTTAGAAGATGTCTTCCTAAAACTGAGTAGAAGGCAGAATATGGGATTGAGGAGAAGAAGTAGTATTTTGAGTAGTATAACAGGCGTTCCGCCGGATGATGTAAGTATGGACGACATGAAAAAATTTCGATATGTTTCGGTTATAATTACTTTTTATATTTATGTTTCAGTGTATTCATTATAAAAATAAATATTTCTTAATTATATATATATATATATATATTTTTTTTTTAGGAAATGGATGATGAGATGAGCGGTGAATTTGGTGATAACGTGAGTGTGTCTAGTCGAAGAAGAAGCATCATCATTAATACCAATGATGGCAATGTAATAATTTTTATTTATTCTTTTGTACTGTTTAAAATTACTTTTACAATATTTATTTAGCAATTATTTTTAATAATTATTTAGCAATATTTTTCTTTATATTACATTTTGTTTGACAATTTATTATTTTTTGGAGAAAATTAATTTTTGTTTACTTTTTTGAAAGGTGCCAGAATTGCCACCGGAAGAAGAAGGTTCCTCTAAGTTCTCGATGATCAATTCGATGCACATGAAAGCTCTTATTTGGAAAAATTTTCTGTGGATGTGGCGAAACGTTGGGTAATTCAATCTTATCTTTCTGCATCAAATATATTTTTATTTCTTTGTTTTTTGCCATTTTCCTAATTTTTTATTTTTCTCTTACAGAGTAATGTTGTTCATTATCGCTCTACCGGTCGCCCAAATAATCCTTTTTTGCATTTCCATCGGCAAAGATCCCGTGGGTCTAAATTTAGCTATTGTTAATAACGAACTCAACAATAGCATGCAACCTTGTATTCCGTCAACCGGTTGTGATTGGTCGCTATTAAGTTGTCGATATCTTCAGCAACTGGAGAAGAAGACTATGAAGTTATTACCTTACGATACTGAAGAGGAAGCTAGGAACGCTGTGAAGAAAGGCTGGGCATGGGGTGCTATTACTTTTCCCTCAAATTATTCAGAATCTCTCATGGCAAGGATAGATTACGGCAGAAATGCCGCGGACTGGGATATCGATTTCGCGGAGATGTCAATTATCATGGACATGTCTAGTAAGCCCTAACATATAAACAATAAAACAGTTAAATTAAATTGTCAATTGGCATAAAATGTTGCGTTTTAAAAATTTTAGTTGAATGGAACGCTTTTATACAATAATGACATCTTTCAATAAACCAAGTTACATAATTTTTATCACATATGTACATGCATATTTAACACATTAACACATAATTTACATATAATTAACATATAATTACAGATCAACAAATAGGACAATTGCTTCGAAGAGATCTGCTTTATGCGTATCAAGATTTCGCGAGAAATATTACTGTAGCTTGCAATTACAGCGAGAAATTAACCAGCATACCTATACATGTAAGTTTCATTAAGATTTTAGTTTCTATGTGATATTTAATTTTTTTATACTGTAAACTATTATCTACAACAATCTATTTCTGATATTTATTATTGCACCAGTTTAATACACCAATCTACGGACCTCTGGATCCTAATTTCACGGATTTTGCAGCTCCTGGAATAATCCTAACGTGAGTAGTGTTTAACTAATACAACGAATAAAATTAATTTTTTTTAAGAAAAATTGTTAGCGATTTGAATGATGAAAAAAACATTTCTTTTCAGACTTATTTTCTTTCTCTCGATCGCATTGACATCGGGTGCATTGTTATTGGAGAGAAATGAGGGTTTACTGGAAAGATGTCTCGTATCAGGTAAACAAAAAATATTAAAACTTATAATGCAAAGATAAAAGAATTACTTTTTTTTATTCTGAATAAATAAATTTAAAAACGAAAATTTAATTACGAAATCTAGATTAATAAATAAAATTTATTATTATCTATGTAATTTATTCAGGTCTCACTGGCACAGAGATTCTCTTCAGCCTAGTGCTTACCGAGTTTACGGTGATGCTCGGTCAGACCGTGATGGTGAATATAGTCGCATTTGCGATCTTCAGGATCACCTGCATTGGTGATATTGGTTGGATCACCACTTTGATTATCCTTACAGGTGTCTGCGGCATGGCCTTCGGTAATTTATTCGTTATTTTAATATTATATTTTGTCGATTGTACATATTTATTGTTTCATCAAGAATTATCTGAGAACAAAACAATGTTTTTTTTTTTATATTGTAATTTCCAGGATTTGTCATCGCCTGTGTGTGTGACAATGAAAGAAGCGCTACGTACATGGCGATGGGTTCGTTCCTTCCTATTATGATGTTGTGCGGGATTGTTTGGCCCATAGAAGGCATGCATCCTCTGCTGAAGTATATTAGTTTTCTGTTACCTCTGACGAAGAGTACGGAGTCAATGAGATCGATGCTGGCTAGGGGTTGGTCGATATCGGAACCCACGGTTTATTACGGCTTCGTAGCCACCTTCATCTGGATTAGCATCTTCATGAGTATGGCGATATTATTGCTCAAATTTAAGAAGGGTTAGCTTAGAGGAAGGGAACATAGTTTTATAAGCTTAAAAATGGAATCGGCCAAACTTCTATGTGAATTGCAACATAATAAACTTGTGAATAAATAAAGCTCGAGTTATCATACATTAAATATGAAATTTATAAATATCCGAAAACAAGCACAAATATTATATTGTTTCATAATCCACAACTTATGTATATCAAAACGTTGTAAATGTATAACAATTTGATATGAAAAAAAAGTTATAGATTGCTATATGATTCGTCGTGTTTGTCGATGAAAGAGACAGAAGACTTGCAACCAGTTGTGCACGGTAAATATTGCTTGTAATATTTCATTGCGTTTAACGTGCAAGCCATCCAAAAAGAATCTCCCAAAGAAAACGATGATTTCAACAATAATAACGCAAAGTTGCATCAATAACCAGGGCGTGTGCAACATAGGATATTCCTGCCAAAGCAAAAATATATATTTATTTAGCAATAGTTAATGAATTGTTGGACAAATTTTTAATCAATTAATTATTCATACTTACTTTTTTATTTTCTACTTACCGTAATGGCACCTAACATAATTAAAGTATAATGCTCGATTCCCAGTATAGATGTCATCAACTTTAAGTCTCTTTCGACAGTAAAAGGTACTGCAATTATCATTTAATCTAATTAATAATTTAATAATTTGAAACAGTTCATGACAATTTATTAATTATTGTTATAATTGCCATGTAAAGAGATGGATTTTTTTGAAGTTTTTAGGACATTCTATAACAATAATATAGAACAACATTATTACTTTCTCGATTGTTTCCGTGACGCGACGACGTCCTGGGAACTTTATAATTCACTGTGCGCATTATATCAAAGGCTGTAATCACCTGATGAAATTTTACGTTAATAATATAATGCATTTAAATGACATTTGCTTATATGTACTTAAAGTGTTAAGTTAATATGAGAGTATTACGATGGACTAACGGTCCCAATAAGGCCCAGAATGATCACATACAACGTACTGCCCATGACATAATGATCGCATAAGGAACAAGCCATTCGTCCAATTTTCTGCGAAATAAAACTTATAGAATTAGAATTAGAAAATAGATATTTTTTTTTTAATATTAACTTATATGTTAAGTGCAATATAATTTCGTTAAGACTTAAAATCCTGTCATCCATTTAATATGCTTAATATTTTATTAATTAATAAAAAAGATATATTTAATTACAAAGTGTCCTCCGTGGATTTTAATATTTCGTCGATCTCGAAAACCCATAATTCACTTTACACTTCAATTCTTGGTATGAAAAAATCACAGTTCTCTTCTAGATTAAACAATTACGTTAATAAATTTGAGATTCCTAAGTTTTGTTGCATCCATATGTATCTGCAAATTTTTGAGTTAATTTTATTAAACATATTGATTTAATTTGTGTAATAGAATTAATTTCTGGCGTTGATTTACAAATACCGTGATTAAATATATGTTAATTATGACGTAAAATAAAATAAGACGATTGCAATTATTTGAGCTACGTATTGTGTAAATTATTATCTTTGTTACTTTATGAAGTTTGATAATCAATGAAGATAGATATTAAATATAATATTTATCGATTTGCTTGAAGTTGCATCGAAGTCAATAAAGTGAAGCAAGCGAGTTTTACTACGGTTACTAAATAATTATATAATTATATTATTGCGTTACAATCGTTCTTTGGTTATCCGTTTTATAATATTTTTTCGTAGATACAACCTTCTCTTCGCATATTGCTTTTGTAAATTTCTTTATTACAAATTTTCTTTTTTTTTTGTACATATATATATTTATATTATTTGTTCTTTATTTGTGTAGAAATAATAACGTTGGGAATATTAGTTTTCTTGCTGTAAAAAATTTATCGTGATTTGTCAAACATAATGGACCGTTTGCTAAATCGCGTTCGTAGCAGTCACGAAATTAATCCGGAAAGAATGAAAGTTTACGAAAAACGCCGAGCAAAGACGGTACGTTGTAACATTTGCGAATTAAATTTAATATTACTTAATAATATAACACGATTTTATTCTATTTTTAGGTGATTGAAAGTGAACTATCACCGCATATACTTAAAAATTATTCTAACAGTTTTCAAACGATCAAAAAAATTGTAAAATCTCCGAAAAAGGAAACGTTTTTCGATAATGAAGTTTACAAGATAATCAGAGCAATGTTGTTGGCACTGTCAATATTGGTTTTATGCTATCATGGATCAAAGGAGTACAATATTTTAGGGAATGGACAGATTGTTAGCGGTTTCACCTCGAGAGAAATCATTATGACATTTAGTTTGGGTTATTCCGTCACGCATTCCGTAATATCTGCCATTGCAGCTAGCATGCTTATTTATTCCATTATTTCGGTATCCAGCATTACTGTTGAATTATATTATATATTTTTATCTATAATTTGCTCTCATTTTTACTTTATAATTACATATTTTAGAAACGGCCGCAATTCAGTTTGCCTTTGATGGGCCTGTTTATGGCTGAGATGATGTGTGATTCCTGCGACGCAATCGTAACAATGTGGTATCTTTTCAGGCATCTTGGGCTGCAAACTGCACTATTTTATACCACAGGACTCTTTTTACTGATTTGTAAATTTCTTTATTTTTTTACTTTTTTTTACGGAAAAATAGAACAGAAAATAATCTTTATTCTAAGAGATAATTTTTTATATCTAAAATATCTTAAAAATTTTCTAAATTTATTTATTATTTATTCTATTTATTTTTATTGTAAAATTTTCATAAAATGTAACACACACACGCACACATACGAATTGTTTACGTTTAGCGGCAGAAATATGGACTTGGCTGGGTGTTTTACGGCTCTATGAACATCGAAACTTCAAATCGGGCTAGATCACATGCATCAGAACGATGAGTATTGATAAAAATTTGTATATAAATTTTTAATTGTCCTGTATATTTCTCTGTACTTCTTATTATATACACATTTTTTACAAATCTTGCAGTGTTGTAATTTAAATAAAATCCAAATAAAAAATAAGCTTTAACGTTTTTATTTTATGAAAACTTATCCTAAAAATCATATCTATTGACCAAATTAGATTAACTTTTATAAGAGATTATGTATCATAAAGTTTCTTGCATTGATAACTTTTCAAATAAACTCGTCAATTTTACCGTAAGTTTTTTTAAACATTTTCAGTCGCATACACAGTGGGACAATCCAAAACATCAACCGCACACCGCGATTTTAAATTAACCACTCGTACTTCGGGACAATTATCAATCCTAAAAAATTATTGTATTATATAATATTTTATTTATTAGTATTATATTTTTTATTAAAAAATCTATGAGAAAATAGTTTTGGTTAAAAATACCTGGGGCAAAATTTATCCAATGCATCTTTCAAACTATGAATTTGCGTAATATTCCTGGATATTTCCTGCAGTACAAATCCTGGAAATGCTTGACAATATACCTCTGTTGCTTGCAAATCGATTGCTGGGTCGATCGTTGTCAATTTATTGGGCGTATAATCTCTATTTTTTTCTTTACTTCACAAATAGAATAGAAGCCATTAAAATCGCCTGTTATTTATTATGTAATTTATTATTTTTTATTTGAATACTTACTTTTGAGATTTGATGATAGTTGACAAGCTGCAATACGCGCTAGGATGCATGGCGATTCCGGGTGAATTCCATAACAAATATGCTCTCGCTGCCATCAATAATAATTCGTTGGTCAAATTTTGTGCAATGTTTGATAATTTTGATCTAATAAATATAAAATATGACGTTTAGAATAATACATGATCAGATAATTGTATTAAATAAAAATTATCAACTTTAAATTGACCAAAAAATCTATTGTACAGAATCATTTTTCACGAACAAACATTTTGCATTAGTATTAGTGATATTCCTATATATTAAAAGCCTGTTAAATATAATCATGAGCAATTTGTATTACTTGCTGAAAAATTCGTCGATCGGCAAGTCGGCAACATGAATATTGGCATTTTGGGTGGCCAGTGCCACTTTGAAATGAGTTTCCAAGATGTTTGATGCACTGGAATTTCTCATCAAATTGATCAAGTGTATCTACAAAAGATTATTTATGATTATTCTTATGACTAATTACATTTCTAGTATTTTTAAATAAAAAAATTAAAAAAAATCAAATCAGAATATTTAAAACAAAATAAACAGATCTTTTTGATATTAAATGTATTGATATAATAATAATTTAAATTTGTAACAATAACATTCTACAAAACTTAATTATAAGTTATATAAAAATTAAAAAGTTTTAATGTACACTTAGTTCGGGTTGTTTTCTCGCCGCAGCTTCGATGTAGCAAAATTCTTTTCTGGACCAGACTTGCGCAGCTTCTTTTACGAAATAAACATTGAAGGGATGCTCGTCTCCAGAAATCTTCAATTCACTATAGTGTTGATAGATTACTTGATTCATAAGAGTTCTAAATTATTTCTTTTATTAAACGTGCAGTATTTTGATATGAGTTTAAAGTTAATTACTTAATTCTTGAAAGCATTAAATATAAATTGTAAAGAATAATTAATTAAATCGCGAAATTATTAATAAAATTGTGGGCATTAAATTAATTATATTTATTACTTACGATTAGTTTTATTAATTGCTTTGTTTATTTATTTTATCAAAGTTTTGGTTAGTTATTTTATTAATTTTAGTGGAGTTTATCAAAATATTATTCTTTTTAAATTTATTTAGTTTTAGTAATTTTTTTTTATATATACCAGCAGTTATCATCGTTTGTTACAGGTGAACAAAGTATCGCCGTGATGAAGACAAAGACAACCAAACCGCTAATGATGAGGCATGCTGTCATAAACAAGGTGAAGAGATCATTTGGCCATCTTCTTAATTGATTCGCGACGCCTTTGACGATTGGCGTGTTGTATTGCGCGCCCTGAATCGTATTTTCAATGTACATATACGAAAAATCAAGTATCTTGCATTTGCTTTCATCCAAGAGGAAGGGAAGTTTATCCTCGTCAAAGTCTAAGAATTTTTAATTTTAATTTTATCATATTTATCATATTTTATCATATCAATTTTATCATATTTTATCATATTTTGCAGAAAAAGAAATACTAAAAAGAATACTTTAATTTAAAAATATATATTATTTTAACGGATTATGTTGTTTTGAGCATTTTGTAAAAAATAAATTTTCTAAATATGACATTTCATACATACTGTTCATAATATTTTTAGGTACTTACGCTTGGCCTTCGGCATTTTGGCAACGTCGTCGCACTGGAGTTCGGATCTGATCAACGACGCTTTAAAGTCTCGCTTTGAAACGCAATTTGCCGAGTCGACACTTCATAACAAAGTCAAGCGGACTTAAATCGAATTGCGACGTTGGGAAATTGGCGAGGTATCCATATTGTGCAATACAAGTGCGGTATATTGCTTTTGCAAATTAGACACGAATTGCTGTGACGTTATCATACAAATGAGTTCACAGTGCACGCTCGTTTATTAAATCTAGTTTTTAAATATAATCAATAAATCTATTTAATGCGTTACAATGAATATATAATGAATATATATCATATTTACAAGACATTTGTGATAATTTTTTATGCAAGATTTACTGTGAAAAAATCACAATATTTATTGTAAAAATAATGACAAAACAGTCACAAGAAATATAATACAATTTGAATGCAATTTGCTGCGGCGGATTCCGTGACGGTACATGATGCAAAATTTTTATATCAACGCTGCAATACTGCAATATCTCGATCTGCGATATCTCGATCTACAATATCTTGACCTGCAATGTATCGATCTGCGTTATATTGTATCAGAGAGAAGCCTGAGAGCGGTCATCACCCCGATTTAGCTGCAACCACAATTCAAGACGCTTCTATGTGCACAAAACGTGCACATTGAACTACTGAGCCATGTACACGATACTTTCCAGTGGGTAACATGCTATGTGCACAATGTTTGGTTCTGTTCCATTCTATGTGCACAAAGTGTCGGTAACACAGAGCTAGTAGGGTAACATTGATGTATATAAAATAAATTTTCAATAAAAAAACATGCACATGTCATTATTTATTTTTATGTTAAAGCTTAATTTACAATAAGTTCTTTTTAACATAAATATACGTGACAATTTTGTTAATAAAAATTGCATCCAAGAATCGCGACATATAAGTTTTTTTAATTTTTGTAAATTCTATTTTTATATTTTGCCCTTACTTTACAATTTTTACGTAACAAGATTATAACTTTTAGATACATAGCACGTTTTGTGCACATAGAGGCGTCTTGAATTGTGGTTGCAGCTAAATCGGGGGGATGATCGCTCTCAGGCTTCTCTCTGCTGGTACGATCATTTTCTTTCTTTCAATGGAAAGAAAATTTAAAGAATGTTGTGAAATAAAATACATTGTTTGTCGAGAAAAGATTTTAATAAAACCAAATACAATATAATAATAGTATACAATAAGTAATATTAAATTCAGAAAACATATACAATGAAAAAGAAATATATACAACAATGCTGCATACAGATGCAATAATGTGATATACATATATATATGTAATACAATATACAATTATATAATAATATAATATACAATATAATATACAATATATTAATACAATATTTTGTACAAATGAGAAACAGATTTTTACAAGTTTACAATATTTAAGAGAAATGTTCCAGTGGCAATATATTTAAGAATTAATTATTATTAAAAATGTGATGTTTTCTATGAAAATAATATTTTTAATATTATATAATAAAAATTAAAATTTACTTCGCGGAAATTTAAAACCAAAATTTGCATTTATTAAACGACGATATTAAATATTTGCAAAAATAATTGGATACGTAAATTTACCACAGTTTCCGGACATTATATTTATGAATATTAAAAAATTATTTTGTTCATATATTTTCGGAGATTGAGACATATCCAGCCATTGGGACATTTAGCTTATTACAATTTTTCTTAATATATTATCCTGTATTCCATCGAAATAATATACAAGATAATACAAAATGAAAATAATATGCCAATATGTCAATAATATGTCAATAAAATCATTTAAACGTTCAAAAGTTTTATGTATAATGCAAAATACTTTAGTTAAAAAGAGCTGAACAATACGATTTTTTATTTATAATCAAAAGTATCTCTTATAATTCAAAAAGTAGTAATATTTTATTAGTGAAATTTATTAATCTAAACATTTAAACGTCTAAACGTTCAAACTTTTTCATAATTTACGCAAGAAACATCTTTCGTTTTTCGAAAGAGAATCTTGCTGTTTGCCCACCCGAAGTTTTATCATTATTTTTGTCATCAATAAACTACAAACTAACTGCCAAAGCAGAAGTTCCAAAGTTTATCGACAGCAAAGAATTAAAAAAAAAATACAATATAGAAGTGATAAGAAGTTTTAAAATCCTACCTACCTACCCACAAACTTTATCTAGTAGAAAATCCTACCTAATTAGAAATTCTATACCTAAGAGTTCGTACAAAAAATTTTCCGCAGGATGCTTTAGCGCAAAGCTCGACTCAGTTACCGCCATTTGTATCTGAATTTCGGGAAGGAGTTTTTCGCAGGATGCTTTAGCGCAGAGCTCGGCTCAGTTACCGCCATTTGCATCTGAAATTCGGAGGGAGTTTTTCGCAGGATGCTTTAGCGCAGAGCTCGGCTAGTTACCGCCATTTGCATCTGAATTTCGGAGGAAATTTTCCGCAGGATGCTTTAGCGCAGAGCTCGGCTCAGTTACCACCATTTGCATCTGAATTTTGGGAGGGAGTTTTCCGCAGGATGCTTTAGCGCAGAGCTTGGCTCAGTTACCGCTATTTGCATCCAAAATCTGAGAGCTACTACCTTGGTGTTTCTCAAAAGACGCTAGCGCAGAGCTCAGCTCAGTTTCCGCTAGTTGCGTCCGAAATTTTTGTTGATAGTCGATCATTATTCAATGATCGATCGTATCAACGTTGTTTCGAGATCTGTGCTCGACCATCATCGACGGGACCACGAATTTCGAATTTCCGCGCTCAACCATGGGATCAACACTAGAACTACCGACGATTAACATATACCAATTTTTATTTCTTTTTTCTTTCTTTTTAAAAGGTGATAAAGAGAAAAAGTACATTAATCAATTTAATTATTTAACACAATGCAACACAAGTCACAGAAAAAAATCTCAAAAAATACAATATAAATTTAAATAATTATTCTAAAATGAATAAACCGGTCATTTTGACCGCTTTGATAGTTCTAGTGTTCTAATGTTAAGCCATAGGACCACGGATGCATGGGTAAGCTAGGAAAGATTGCGAAGAAATTGACGTATAGCAAGAATAAATATATATTTTAAAATTGTAAATAAATTGTTAATAAAAAATGCACTCTTTCTTTATTAGATCAATTATTTCAAATATACCATAATTCATTAATATATTTACGTTTGTGTAAAAGAATTTTCTTTTTTATTTTTAATTTAAATTTGTGATACATTTGTGGTACATATGTATTTAAAAATTTTCTTACTTTTGCTT